GACATATAAGCAAATATTATTAGAGCAAAAGAGTTTAATAGGCCCCAATACATTAATAGTTGGGGACTTCAGTATCACACTTTCAGCACTGGAGAGATTATCCAGACAGAAAATCAACAAACATTAGACTTTGCGCTATAGAACAAATGCACTTAACAGACATTACAAAACATTTTATTCAACAGTTGCAGAGTACATATTTTTCTCATCAGCACATGGAACATACTCCAGGATACAGCACATATTAGGCCACAAACAAGTCTCAACACATTTTGAAAAATCAAAATCATGTCAGGTATCTTCTTGGACCACAGGGAAATAAAACTAGAAATCAATAAAAAGAGGAACTTCGGAAACCATACAAATAAATGGAAATTAAACAGCATGCGCCTGAATGAGCAATGAGTCAATGAACAAATTAAAAAGGAAATAAAAACATGCGTGAAACAAATGAAAATGGAAACACAACATATCCAAATCCTATGGGATATGGAAAAAGCAGTACTAAGAGGGAAGTTTACAGCAATAAATGCCTACATAAAAATTGGAAAGATTTCAAATAAATGACCTAATTGTGTGCCTTAAGGAGCCAAAAAATGAAAAACAAACTAAACCTAAAGTTAGTAGAAATAAATAATAAAGATCAGAGCAGAACTAAACAAAATAGAGCTGAAAAAACAATACAAAGGATGAGCAAAACAAAAAGTTGGTTTTCTGAAAAGATAAAATTGATAAACCACTAGAGTAATCAAGAAAAAAGAGGGAAGATCCAAATAAAGTCAGGAACAAAAAAGGATACATTATGGCTGATGCCACAGAAACACACAGGATCAGCCTGGTACTCTGGCTCACACCTGTAGTCCCAGCACTTTAGGAGGCCAACACAGGTGGATCACCTGAGGTCAGGAGTTCAAGACCAGCCTGGCCAATATGGGGAAACCCCATCTCTACTAAAACTACAAAAATTAGCTGGGCATGGTGGCACACACCTGTAATCCCAGCTACTCAGGAGGCTGAGGCAGGAGAATCACTTGAACCCAGTAGGTGGAGGTTGCAGTGAGCCAAGATTCTGCCACTGTTCTCTACCCTGAGCAAGAGAGTGAGACCCTGTCTCGTATAATAATAATGATAGTAATATACAAAGGTTCATTAGAGACTACTATGAGCAATTATATGCAAACATATTGGAGAACCTAGAGTAAATGGATTAATTGCTAGACATACACAGTCTACCAAGATTGAACCAGGAAGAAATGCTTGAATAGACCAATAACAAGCAAAGAGATCAAGTCAGTAATAAAAAGTCTTTCAGCAAAGAGAAATCCAGAACTATATGTCTCTACTGCTGAATTCTGCCAAACTTATAAGGAAGAACTAACACAAGTTCTTCTCAAACTATTCCAAAAAATTGAGGCAGAGAGAATTCATCCTAACTCATTCTCCAAGACCAGCATTACACATTACACTGATACTAAGTCAGACATGGGCACAGGAAAAAAAAAAAAAAAAAAACTATGGGCCAGTATCCTTGATAAATACAACACAGACACAAAAATCCTCAGCCACATGTCAAAAAGATTATAAACCATAATCAAGGGGATTTATCCCAGTGATGCAAGCATGGTTCAACATGTGCAAATCAATCAGCGTGATACATTACATTGACAGAATTAAAGACAAAAACCATATCATCATTTTAATAGGCACAGGAAAAACATTTGATAAAATTTAACATCTTTTCTTGTTAAAAAACTCTAAACAAGTTAGGCATAAAGGGACAATACCTTAACATAAATGCTATGCATGACACACCCAGAGCTGACATCACACTGAATGGGGAAAAGCTGAAATACTTTCCTCTAAGACTGGAACAAGAAAAAGATGGCCACTTTTAATTCTCCTATTCAACATAGTACTTGAAGTCCCAGCCAGAACAAGCAAGCAGAAGAAAGAAATAAAAGGCATCTAAATTGGAAAGGAGGAAGTCAAATTGTTCATCTTTGTAAATGACATAATATTATATATAGAAAAACCTAAAGATTCTACTAAAAAACTCATAGAACTGATACATGCATTGAGGAAAGCTGTAGGACACAAAGTCAACATACAAAAATCAGTAGTGTCTCTATACAGCAATAATGAAGTAGCAGAAAAAGAAATCAAGAGAGCAATCCCATTTGCAGTAGCTACAGAAAAATAAAATACTTCAGAACAAACTTAACCAAGGAGATAAAAGACCCCTACAACAAAAGTTATAAAACATTATTGAAAGAAATTAGAGGACACAAACATAAAGACATTTGATGCTCATGGATTGGAATAATTAATACTGTTAAAATGACCATACTACAGAAAGAAATCGACAGATTCAGTTCAACTCCTATCCAAATACCAATGACAATCTTCACAAAAATCGAAAAAAGCCCTAAAATTTGTATGGAGCCACAAAAGACCCTAACTAGCCACAGCAATACTGAGCAAAATCAACAAAGCTGGAAGCATTGTACTACCTGACTTCAAAACATACCACAAATTCAGATTAATGAAAACAGCATGGTATTGGTGTAAAAAGACACATAGACCAATGGAACAGAATAATGAAAAATATGTCCAACTGTTTACAGCCAACTGATTTTTGACAAATGTGCCAAGAACATGCGGACATCCTCTTCAATAAGTGATGCTGAGAAAATCGGATACCCATATCCAGAAGAATGAAACTAGACCCCTGTCTCTCACTATGTACCAAAGTCAACTCAAAATGGATTAAAGACTTAAACATAAGAAACAAAACTATTAAAGTACTAGAAGAAAACATAGGAGAAAAGCTTCAAGACATTGGTCAAAGCAAAGATTTTATGGCTAAAACGTCAAATGCACAGGCAACAAAAAAATAGACAAAGAGGACCATATAAATTAAAAGCTTCTGCACAGCAAAGGAAATAACAGAATGAAGAGATAATCTGTAGCATGGGAGCAAACATTTGCAAACTATTCATTTAACATGGGACTGATATCCAGTGTATATAAGGAACTCACACTACTCAACAGCAGAACACCAAATTATTCCATTAAAAAGTGGGCAAAGGGGCCAGGCGTGGTGGCTCACGCCTTAACCCTGACACTTTTGGAGGCCAAGGTGGGCGATTCATGATGTCAGGAGATTGAGACCATCCTGGCTAACATGGTGAATCCTGGTCTCTACTAAAATACCAAAAAAAAAAAAAAAAAGAAAGCCAGGTGTGGTGGTGTGTGCCTATAGTCTCAGCTACTTGGAAGGCAGAGGAAATGCTTGAACCCAGGAGGCAGAGGGTGCAGTGAGCTGAGACCACACCACTGCACTCCAGCCTGGAGATAGAGCAAGACTCTGTCTCAAAAAAAATAAAAAAGTGGGCCAAGGCCCTGAATAGACATTTCTCCAAAGAAGACATACAAATGGCCAACAGCTATATGAAAAAATGCAAAAATGCTCAATATCACTGATCATCAAGGAAATGCAAGTCAAAACTGCAGTTAGAATGGCTATTATCAAAGAGACAAAAAATAAGAAATGCTGACAAAGATGTGGAGAAAAGGCAACCCTTATACTTTGTTGGTGGGAATGTAAATTAGTACAGCCATTATGGAAGACAGTATGAGACTTCCCAAAAAACAAAAAAGAACCACCATTCAATCCAGCAATCCTACCAATGGATATTTACAAAAAAGAAAGAAAAATCAGTGAATCAGTGAGACACCAGCACCCTTGTGTTTATTGCAGCACTGTTCACAGTAGCGAAACCATAGAATTAATCTAACTGTTCATTCATAGATGAAGGGATGAACAAAATGTGGCATATATGCCGATGGAATACTATTCTGCCTTAAAAAGAATGAACTAGAGGTCAATATGTTAAGTGAAATAAGCCAGTCACAGACAAATATCTCATGTTCTCATATATATGAAGTAAAAACAAAAACAGAATACAAGAAAAAAACCGTGGATATCTTGGAGATAGAGAATAGAATAATGGTTACCAAAGGTTGAGAATGATGGGGTTGAAGAGAGGTTGGTCAGTGAGTACAACATATAGCTAGAAGGAATAAGTTCTAATGTTTGATAGCACAGTAGGGTGAGTGTAGTTAACAGTAATTTATTGTACATTTCAGAGTAGCTAGAAGAGAAGATTTGAAATGATCCCAACAGAAAGAAATGATAAATGTTTGAGGCAATTACTATACTTCATATCCTGATTTGATAATTATACATAGTATGTATGTATCAAAATATCACATATACTTCATAAATATTTCAAAATATGTATTAATTTAAACATTTTTTAAAAATTCAAAAATCTGGTATCCTCATTTCTGCACTCAGGTCCCTAACTTCTGTATCATACTGATGCTCATTATGTAATTTGAGCCTTACAATAACTTTGTAACAAAGATAATACAGGCTCTTAATCTGAATTTTATATTCAGGAGAATATCTCTTAGAGAGACTAAGTAATTTATTTGAAATTTCACAATCTTTGAGTGGGATAGCTTGAATTAGAACCTGCTTCTTCTAATTTCAGCCGGCCAGCAGCAAAGGAACAGCATGGAGAGGTGTTTAGGAGGGAGCCCTTTATTGTTAAAAGGCATCAGTGTGGAAAGTCTGAAGAAGCTGGATCAGGCAGCTCAGAAAGTGGTATAGTATGTGGAAAGGACAGTGGCAAAGCAGAAATCTAGTAGCAGGCACCCATTTGTGGCTTGTCTGTTAGTCAGATCTGGAAGGGCTCAGGTTTGAATCTGGACTTTACCACTTTCTTGCTATCTGACCTTCAGCAAATCACTATCTTACTCTAAGGCTTAATTGTCTCCACCAAATGTGAATAACACTTATTTTACAAAGTTATTAGAATCAAATGAGATCATGAATATAAAAGGCATAGCAGACTTCCCAGCATATAGAAAGTTCTTAATAAAATTTAATTTCTTTCCCGGTAGAGTTTATTTTTCTTTCCTTCTTTCCATAGCATTTATCTAGCCGGCAGAGTGTACAGCAAAGCACATCCCAGGTAAGCAGCTTTCCTGGGTCTTCCAGTCTTTCCTCTCAACTTTTTCTTTTAAGAGATTATGACATATGAATACACCAGGAAATGACAGACGCCACTTACTTCTTGACTGTGTGGTGTCTTTATCTGAGGAGCCTTGACCTCTAAACAGATTTGGCCAGACTGTACTTCTACTATGCAAATTTGCATAAGAACAGTTAAAGCAGATTGAGACTAAAAAGAGTCAGTCTGGAAGAAAATAAAAATGTTATTTAGAATGGTAACTATTACCCGGTAACAGTGTAAACCAAGTGCATTGGGGTCATGATGGCATTTCTTAAAAATGAGTGACAGTCGTTTCCTGGGCCAGGCATGGTGGCTAATGCCTGTAATCCCAGCACTTTGGGAGGCCAAGGTGGGCAGATCACCTGAGGTCAGGAGTATGAGACCAGCCTGGCCAACATGGTAAAACCCTGTCTCTACTAAAAATACAAAAACGTAGCTGGGCATGGTGACAGGTGCTGTAATCCCAGCTACTTGGGAGACCGAGGGAGGAGAATTGCTTGAACCCAGAGCCAGAGGTTACAGTGAGCTGAGATCATGCCACTGCACTCCAGCCTAGGTGGCAGAGTGAGACTCTGTCTCAAAAAAAAAAAAAAAAAAAAAGAAAGAACTTGGTTTCTTGGAGAATTAAGATGTTTGTCTCACCTGGTGGAGATTTTTAGTTCGCTTCTAAGTTGGAATTACTGTCCCTGTTTACTCCCATCTCCTTGCTTGCCCCCCTCAACCCAAGTCTGCTGATGCAGCATCACATACAAGCAGAGAAAACATCTTGAGTTTCTCAAAGTCTCCTTTAGTAGTGTGAAAAGAGTTTGTAATTTAGTTTCCACCTTTTAATGATCAATATCGAAAATAACTAAAATAGAAATCACTGGGTTTTTTTTCTTCCTCATTAGGTAGATACAATGCGCCCACGTCATGGGGAAACCTGTCGGATGCCAGTGCCACATCACTTCTTCCTCAGCCTGAAGAGTTTCACTTACAATACTATTGGGGAAGATACTGATGTCTTCTTTTCCTTATATGACATGAGGGAAGGCAAGCAGATCAGGTGAGAGTCACTAGAAATTCTGGTGAGTGTGATTCTATGTTAGGATGATATGGATCATAGGCATCTCTGGCTGTCAAAGAAGGTAGATGCACAGAGGAGGCAAAATAAGATAAAGTAACTTCATCTCATTAGCTAGGAGTTTGGCCCCATTTCCCAGTGTGCCCTTAAATCATCTAAACCATACAATGAATGGGTGGCCCCCTTTTTTATGCCTTTTTCCGCATAGAAGCTCAAAATCGAGTCTTGGTTATCACCACCTCACAGAGAGAAAAGGAAACATTTATTTAATGCCACAGAAAAGGCATAGGAAAAACATAGACCCAAGCAAATGCAGCAGAGACACCCAGCTCCAGAGTGCAGAAAGTCCTGGGCCTTGACTTGCTGCATGTGGAAGAGAAGGTTTGCAGAGAAAGGAGCTGATGGTGTGTTGTCTGGGCAGCCCATGACAGGAGAGCATCTTCTAGGCAGAAGGGAAGGCTGGGCTGCCTTTGTCTTGTCTCTTTGCCTTGGATTGGAAGAGAGGCAACAACAGAAGGGGCTAACATGGAGTAGGCTATGTATCTTGGCAGAACAGTGAAGCTCTTAAGCATAAGCAATTTCAGCAGTGCTTTCTCCTTTCTAGAGGAGGGGAAGAATTAAGGAGACTCTAGGCTTACCTTCCTGTAGAGGTCAGCAAGGCTCTGATAATGCTGGATGATTTTTGCGGCCAACATGGAATTTTAGAGTCCAGATATTTTTCTGTGGTAATCTTCTAATTGGGGCAGAAAGAAAATAAATGTTGGGTTTCTTTTATATTGCTTGGGAACTTGTTGTGTTAGGAGTGCTTTATGGCTTTTACTTGCTTTATTTTAATACTTACAATTTGAAAGCAGCTTTTTCACTTTTCGATTATACATTCCATGTGGGAAAATTAAAAATAGAAGTTACAACAGAATGCAAAAGAAAAACAGTTAATTTGCATGCCCCACAGTGCCTCTGATCTTGACAAAAATATTAATACACTATGCTTTACTTTGGCATAGGAATAAAATGATGCACATGTGGATTTTTCTTATTACCAATAGCTCCTAATTTGTGCCTTTGGGAAAGTTATTGTAGAGAAGGTAGTAGTGGTATTGATGACAGCTAAAACTGTTGCACGTCGACAAGATTACAGCCCAGGGCTGTGTGAACATAGATTCTGGCTACTCTTACTTTCCTACTTGCCAGAGGTGGTTTGTAAACTTTATTTGTATGTGTGTGTGTGTACAAGTGTGTGTGTATGTGTGTGTAAAAATCCTTTCCTCAAGCTAAATTTTATGAGAAAGTCACATATATGAAACATAAAACTATTGCATTATTGAGGGGGGAGGAAAGATAACAGGAATGTCACTGTCTTCCTACACCCACCCAGTGTGTGGGACCACTGAAAGTCTGTGGGTTGTACTTTGAAAACCAGAGCATACTGCTTTGTCATCTTTGAGTGCAGGGACTGTGTTCTCCCTCCATAATCCCAGCACCCAACACAGTACCGGTGCCCAGTACACACTTATCAGGCTTGCTGAATAGAGAAGATCCAGCCCCAGCATAACCACCTCACTGATCTGGTTTGTAATCTGTCGGGAGATCACCAGTTCACCAACTATTTTGTCTTTACACTTTAGCCTCAAAAAACTATAAAGCATTTTAAAAGAAGTGTAAAAAACATTTTGTTTGTACAGTTTCTGAAAATGCTTAGGACATTAAAAAATTCCTAGACATTAAAGAGAACAAGAAAGCTACAAGTTTTTTAGTTTAAAATGCCTACTTTCTTTAAAGAGTAAACTAATAAGAATTTTAGATCTAGATCTAAAATTGGTACTTTTTTAAATCTAGATCTACAATTGATAAATGTTTTTTCTTCTTTCTATTAGGATTTATGTAGTTATATAAACCCTCAAAAATTTTAGGTCATTGAATCACCAGAGAATTCTGCTTTTATTATGATTAGGTATTAAATTGTCATGTATTACTTTCTTCTTTTTCTTTTTTTCCCTAATCACTATACTACCAGGATATATATTACTTTCTCGAAGCAGTTATCAGATATCACTAAAGGTTAGGGATGTATTATATCATGTGTGCAGAGTATTGACACAGAGCAATTGGTTTCACTGTGTTTTCTCATCAAAACATCTCCTAGAGTGACTGTCTTTCTAATCAAACATTGCTGGTCTAATCTCCAAATTAAATGGTGCTAGTCTAGTATTCAGTATTGCTAAGACATTCTCATCTCATGCCAAGGAGTGCTTGTGAGCAGGGGGAGCACATTAAAAGGAAGAGCAGATATTCCTCCACTTAAAGTCTCCTTGCTGATTCCACAGGCATACCTAGAGGGGCTAAAATGAATGATATATTGCAAACCTACATAGTGCATCCTGATATATGTTGACTGGTGAGTATTAAACGATCTACAAGGAGGGAAGCAGTAGCTGGCAGAGTCTTTGTAGCTCTGACTAGCTTTTTTGACATTTTATCATTCAGAACAGTATCATAAATATTTAGCCATGAAATCTAAATATCTGCAACTAAGACCTTTTCCCTGAGCTTCAGGTTTCACATCCTTTTTTATACTTTCTCCTTCTCCTCTGCATTGAGCACTGTGTCCTGACAACTTCTACTTCCTAATTATCAATTACCACTCTCACTCCATCTCCACTGTACCTCCAGGTCCTTCACTTTTCTCCTCAAACACAGACTTCCAGAATCTACTGTCTTCTCACCCTACGTTACTATCTATACCACCATCATACTTTTTTAAAAAATGCAAACTGTTAGAGGCAGCTCCCACTTATCCCAAAGCACTTGCTACTTAGCATGGCATAAAAGGCCTGACCCGGCATGTGATTCTGCCTATTTCTCCAACCTTGTTTTATGCATCTTACTTTATCCCAGTGACTAATTTGTCTTTCCCAAAACATGCCTTGCTCTTTCATTCTTCCCTACCCTTTTTGATTTGATAAACTCCTGTCTATTCTTTAAAATTCAACTTTATGAAAAACCTCCTTCGATATTCATGGGTAGAATCAAGCCCTGGGACTTCATTGTGCCCATTAAGACACACTATTCCTAACTATATCCCATTACTAGATACCATATTATAATTGTGTATATGCATAAAGATTTCTCCTACTAGAATGGGAACTTCCTTGTGTGTTGTTTGTACTGTTTTCTTCCCAGTACTAAGCACAGAATCTGGGATATTGAAACATTAAGTAAGTACATCTCTCAAATAAGTACCAATCAATCACCTGTAAATGAAGAAATTTTCATTTAATTTAATAATTTAATAAGTATTTACTGAAATTCTCTTTTGTGGGCCTCTTCAATAGCTGCTAGGAATCTAGAGATTAAAAATAAATACCCCTGTCCCTGAGGAGGTCTAACAGGAAGTCCCAAAAGATGGGAAACATATTCCTGTATTTAAGTATCAAACAAGCTGAGTTGAAAAGTCAAAGAGGAAGATGCCTTGTTGACATGTGGCCAGACTTTAAGCACAATGAGAAGTCAGGGAAGAAAAAGACTCATTAAGGGACAAAAAAGCCAGAAAGGACCTATGAGGAAAATAAAAGCTGAGTTAATGAGTGGCCAGGATAGATGGGGTATTAAATCACTTGTTCAACAAATATTTATTAAATATCTACCAGGTATTGTGATAGATGCCAGGGATAATGAGGTGAGAAAGAGACATATTTTCTTATCTTCCTGGAGTTTCATGGGCTAGTAGAAAGACCAACATTAAATACCTTATCACATAAATAAGTATGTAGATTACCAATTATGATAAGTGCTATAAAGGAAAATTCTCAAGGGTTCTGTGAAGATCTCATGTAGATTGGAGCGAGGGAATGTCGTTCTGGTGTTCAAGCTAAGCCCTAAAGTATGAGTAAGCAAAAAGAGTGGATAATGTAAACTAGGCAGAAGAAGGTCTAGAGGCAGGGAAAAACTTGATACATACAGAGAACATAGAGGAAGTCAGTGTAGCTGGAATGTTGTAAATGAGAGAAGGCTAGGATGTCCCAAAGGCAATTTGATATGCAGGACCTAGATTAAGTAAGTCCCTATGGCCATTGAAGAATTTTGAATTTTATTGTAAGTTCAAGAAGAGAAGATACTCAAACATGAGAAGCAGCAAAAGCAAAGCAGGAGTCATAAACAGTAAGGACAGCAATATATGTGTATCGAAAAATAGGAGAGGCCATTAGAGCTAGGAAAATGTGTTAACAATAGACTTCAGGGCCTGAATCTGTTTCTTATCCATGTTTGACTGCTCACAGTCCCTTGAATACACAAAGAGCTCAGTAAATATTTGATCATAAAACAAAAGCTAGAGACGGCTTCATAGGCCTAGGAGGACAAATGTAGGAATCTAGGACCAGAAAAAGGAGAGACAAAGGGGTTTAACAAATATTTTCAGAAATAATAACTGAAAACTTCTCAAGTTTGTTGAAAAATATTATATATCCAAGAAATTCAGTGATCCTCAAGTAGGATAAATACAAAAGTATCAATACCTAAACACATCATAGTCAAACTCTCAAAAGCCAAAACCAGAAATTCTTCAAAACAGCAAGAGAAAAATGACTTATCATGTGCAGGAGAACAATACAATTAATGCCTGATGTCTTATGAGAAGCAATGGAAAACATAAGGAAGTATAATGATTATATACCACAGGCTGAAAGAAAAGAACTGTCAACAAAGAATCCTATAGTCAGTAAAACTGTTACGTACAAAAATGAAGGTGGGCCAGGCTTGGTGGCTCACGCCTGTAATCCCACACTTTGGGAGGCCGAGGTAGGTGGATCACTTGAGCTAAGGAGTTTGAGACCAGCCTGGGCAACATGGCAAAACCCCATGTCTATAAAAAAATAATGAAAGTTTTTTTAAAAAATGAAGGTGCCAGGTGTGGTGGAACCTATAGTTCTAGCTACTTATGAAGTTGACACAGGAGAACCACTTGAGCCTAGAAAGTGAAGGTT